CCCCCCCCGCCCCTGCAGGGTTTAGAGGAAACATCTGCAGGGACAGTGCTGGACACTTGGTTCCTGGAAGCAGATGGCTGTCATCCTCCCAGCACCTCTCCCATCCACTGTGGCCTCATCCCTTCCCCTCCTCCAGCAAGCCACCCCACACCCCACACACGCCCAGGGGCAGGTGGAAGGAAGTGCAAACAAAGGGCCCTCTCCAGATGCTGAACCCCGGCTGGTGGGGACACTGCTGTCCTGGGTTTGAATCTCACACAGCGAACTTCTTTCCCAACATAAGACAGAGAGGATCTGACGCCCCCCCGGGATCCCAGCCAGCCCTGACCCAAAGCGGAGTCTGTTTCCACAGAGGCAACAATCCAGCCTGGATGGGCGTGCCAGGGAGAGTGGCTTCTGGAATTCCACAGCAGGCAGGGAGGGGCGGTCAGGGCCAGACTTGAGCTGGGTGTTGCCCAGAGGACTCGGGCATCTGGGGACCACCATCCCCACCCACACTTAGCCCCCGGGATCTTCCCACCCCTCTGTAGCCATCTCTTCCTCCAGGAAGTCTTCCTGGAGCCCCTAGCTGGGTTCTGAGCTCCCCACCCAGGCACACCACACTGGCCTGGCCCAGGTGTGCCCAGCTGTGCCCCAGCACAGTTTGTTCATCCAGCAAATGACCCCACTGTAGATGGGGGGGCCTTTTAGCTCTGCAGTCCTATTGCCTTGTACCTGACCTGTGGCACTTCGGAGTAGAGGCTCTGAGTCCAGACTGCCCGAGTCTGGGTCCTATTCTGTTCCTAGCTATGCGCCCAAAGCAAGTTCTTTACTGACCTATGCCCCGAAGACAACCACTTCTTAGGCTTCCTGTGAGTTGAGCTGCTAGTCACCGCTTAGATGTGGGTGTGGGTACTCAGTAAGGCTGCTTGTCCCCTCCTTCCCGATGAAACCCCGGCCACTGAGGGAAAGGTCATCTGTGCTTTATTGTACATCAATGGCCCATACTGGAGCCTGTGTCTTAAGAGTTCCTGGGGGTGGCAGTCCCGGGGCCAGCCTCTGCCCAACCCCGAATGCCCAGTCCTGCCCAGCTCCCAGCACAGTGCAGGGTCAGTGTGCTGGCAGAGTTGGGGACGGGCGGGGATGACCACAATTCTTGTCCACAAAGCCCACGCAGGGCTCGGTCCTGGGACCCTGGGCTCCGGGGAGGTGGGACAGGGTGAGCTGTGTGTCACAGGAGAGCCCCCTCAATCCTCTGGAGTGCAGAGCCTGGCCTAGGCCCAGGGACCCAGCCTGCTGAGTGGGGCCTGGCCTGGCGGATTCTACAAGGTATCTGTTGGGGAGACCCTGGGTGGGAGCACAGCACTCAGTCCAGCTCCTCCTCCCACGCAGGCCCGTCTCATCTGCGTGGCCTGGGGTCACGGCCCCCGTGGCTCGTCTCTGCCCAGCAGCACGTGTCACTGGTGTCACCTGGGCCTCGTGTAGCCGTAGGGGCGCTGCAGCAGCAGGCTTCGGTGGCCGGGCAGCACGTGCGTGTGGTAGTACTCCACGAGGCTGCCCACGCTCACAAACAGGACCTCGCCCTCCAGGTAGAATTTAGAGTCCTGGCAAGGGGGAAGAGTGGTGGGGTCAGGGGGCGTCTCCCGCGAAAGGGGGTGGTCAGCAGCAAGCGTGGCAGTCCGGCAAGCTCCCAGGTGCCCTGTGTCAGCTCTGTGCCCGCCACCCCACCCCCAGGCGGGGGCTCCCTTCCAGCTGGAGCCCTGGGGCGGGGCCAGCCTGCCCACCTTCTCAAAGATGCGGTAGTTCCTCACTTTGTTGGGGCTTGTATCCCACACGACCAGAACCTGCAGGAAGAGAAGCAGCAGATGGATCAGCTGAGAGCAGCCCCAGCCTCCGGGGAAGGACCGCAGAGACCAAGGGGCCGGCAGAAGCATCACAGCTGGGTCCTGGGGCCCTTACGGTGACCTAGGGAGGGACCCGGACAGCAGGGTCCAAACGGGCAGCCGCTGGCCCCAGGGCTCCTGCCCTGATGGCCTCTGGGGAGACTCGAGTAGCGGTAGCAGGTGCCTGGCTCGCCCTAGGAGCATTTCTGACAGACACAGAATAGAGGGGGCGCCAGGCTGGCTCCGTCCATGCAGCATGCGACTCTTGATCTTGGGGTCATGGGTGCGAGCCCCACTGTTGGGCATAGAGCTTACTTAAATAAATAAATAAACAAATAAACAAGAAAAGAAAAGAAACAGAAAAGTGAGGCTCAGTGAGGTTGTGCGATCCAGCCTCGGAGGAGGAGGGGCACTCCAGCCGACTCGCTATTCCCACAGCCCCAGGCAGCCTCCCCTGCAAAGTGCATGAAAACCCAGCCCCACCAGAGTTCTGGGACCCCCAGCACTTCCCTCCCACCTCCTTCCTGTGCTGGGGGACTGGCCAGCATCGCCCCCAGTTTGCAGATGGTGTTCGGTTCCTGACAGTAGATGGGGCAGGGGCTGCCGGGCAGAGACCCCAAGCACGGAACTGGTCGAGATGCCAAATCAGAGGCTGCACAGGGAAGTGACGTATATGCTATAAAGGAGCCCACCACAACACAGCAGTCCCCAGGGGCCTTCGCTCAGCAGGGTGACTGTCGGGGCACCTACCTTCCCTGACTTGGTGGAGGAGTTCCGGATGCAGTAGAGTCCATCCTGGGGCTCTCCCTGGGGGCTTGTGGCTTTGAACAGCCTAAAATAAAGCAGTTGCGTCAGAAGACGAACCATCCTCAGCCAGTGCTCGCGGGGGGACCCTCCAGCCCCAGTCCTCAATGTGGGTTTCTGCCTTCTCGCCATTCTGCAGCACAGGTCCCAAGAGCAATGGGCTGCGTGAGGGCCGGCCTGTGCCGGGCTTGGGTGCCGGCCAGGCGGGACTGAGCGGATGGCCTCTATCGCCCTCGGGGCCGAGTACCTGTGCCGGCGACTGCCCAGCGCCAAGGCAAGTGAGGGGGACAGAAAGGCTGGGGACCGCATGTCCGCAAAAACAAGGATTTGGAGAAAGAAGGGCTTGGTGCTAACCTTTCCACTTCGCAGGATTCCGTGGTATTGATAAACACAGAGCTGGGCAGTGGCACCTGCAGAGACCAGTGGCAGTCAGGGTCAGGGTCAGGGTCCAAGGGGTGCTTGTAGCCAGTGCGCCGTCTCCCCACCCCCGGCGGGCTACCAGCCTGTGCCCAGATCTGGGGCTTTCCACCATGCTCCCGTGCCCCCCTCAACTCCAGCATCCTGGGGGCTCCTCACTCAAGATGCCCAGTGAGGGGCCGCCCACCCACCGCTGCGAGCTGGGCTCTCCCCTCGGCCCTACCTTCTCATAATCCTCGTCGGAGTCCTCCCCACCAGCGCTGTCCGCCTTTGAGGGCCATCGGGGCTTTTCAAAGGAGAAGCTCCTGAAACTCTGCCCATCAGGGGGTGACCTCCTGGGAGGGGAGCAGGGAGAGGAGGGAACATCACTGTCGCACCCTCCGCCCACCACCCCCATTCACCTGGATGGTTGGAGGCCCAGACCAGGGACCCTGAGACAGGCCCATGCCGACCGCCCTGGGGCGACAGGAATTGCCTGAAGTGGGCTCAGGACTGCCAATAACACTGGCAAGACCATGGTGGGGGCCTGAACTCTGGTGTGGTCATTGCATAGACAAGTGCTCTGGATGCTTGGGGGGGGCCCCAGCCCCAGCTCTGCAGCTAACCAGCTTTGTGACCTTGGCCAAGCCACGCCCCTCCCAAAGCCACAGAGAGTGGATGATGTGAATGGACGGAGCCCACACTGGGCTGTGGTGGAGGCTGAGCCATGGACGACCGGCCCTGGCACACGCAGTCCTGGAGCTCTTGGCAAACTGACCCAGTCTGCACCACTGAGGCCCCTTGTGAAACGGAACCATCACGTGGTGCCCTCCCTCGGCAGCAGAGCTGAGAGTCCTAGGGAGAAGGGTGCCAGGCTCAAAGGCCTTCAGGGAGTACTGGGTTAGCTCGCCCGCTCAAGGGTCCCCCCTGTGGTTCCCAGAACCTTCATGGTTTGGGGCCCCAGACATCTCTGACCACAGGCTGTTGGTATGAACGACACTGTGTGAGCGGGGGACACACCAGTCCCCCCTAGCAATAAAGAAGAAAGTGTTTCGAGCAGACCTCAAGGGTGAGTCACCAACATACTCCACATTCTAGCAAGTTCCCAATCAGGAAGAGCACAAAGGCAGCCTTGGTGGCTCAAGAGCCCCAGGCAGGGAAGGACAGATCCGGATCAGGAGGGCCCGCAGAGGCATGCTGGCTCCAAGGGGCTCACAGCCCAAGCTCCTCCCATCCCCTACCATCTATCCCAGAGCAGGAGGTCAGCCCTGAAGGCCCCTCCCTTGACCCTGCAGGGTCCTCAGATTGCCCAGGCCAGGCTCTGGGAGGCCTGTTTCCCCAAAGACCCTCTTGCCCACTGCTCCCCGACAGCGACGGGCTCTAGGCCCACCACCCACGAGGCTGGACATTCCTCTAGGGCAAGGATAGGTCCGGTGCAGGGGAGGCTGCTCAGGCTCAGCAGGCTGCGGCAATCAAGGAGCCTTCCTCCTCCTATGCTAGGGCTGCCTGGTACCCGTCGTGGACACAGACAGTGCCAGAGGCGAGGAGGCCAAGGCGCCGGCTGGGGAGGGGCCCCAGGGGGCCCCAGTGCCAAGCCAACTCACTGGAGGTGGGGGAGGGGTGGCTTCTCTGTCCTTGGCAGGACCGCTGGCTTGGCTGCGGCCTCAGGCATTGGCAGTTTCAGGACAGGAGGCCTGGGGGCCACCGGGGGCACGAAGAGTCTGGGCCTGGCTGCCTCCCCTGTAGGGGCCTCTTCAGCCATCTTTAAGAACTTGGGCTTGTTGGCAGGCACGGGTGGAGGCTCGGGCGTGGGTGGCCCCCGGGGGGTCAGATGGAAGGACTTGAGCTTGTCACAGTTCCTGGAGGAAGCAGTGGCCACGTTGGCAGGGCTGGAGGCAGAGCCAGGCCCATGGCCGGGGACCCAGGGCTCTGGGCTGGGGCTGGCGCTCTCGCGTAAGCAAGGGGGTTTCCGGAGGCTGGGCGTGGTTGGCAGGTGGCCCAGCGGGGGGTCACTCATCCTCCGGGGGGCCATGGGCACCCTGGGGCCAGGCTCAGGCCGCCTCAGGCCCAGTGGGTCCCTCTTGGAGTCCTCAGGAGCTGGGCTGGTGTCAGGGAGGCCACGCTTAGGGGGCGGGGGTGGCAACAGGGGGCTCGGGCCCTTGGAGGCAAAGGAGTGAGCACGGGGCATGTCGGAGAAGGCTGGCTTCCTGGGTGTAGGCACAGGAGGCGGGGGGTAGGCCGGTGGGTGGGTCAGGGTGTCTGCAGAGCAAAGAGACCCAGTCAGTGAGTGTCACCTGCTGGAGGCTGGGCCAACACCACCACCCTGCACCCCCTGGCCTTTCTCACCCCCCTCTACACGCAGCCCGCATGAGCTTCCTGAGCCATCAGCTTCCCGGAAGTGGAGGTGAGAGAGAAGAGGCAAGGGAAACTCTGAGGACTTCACCTCAGAGAGGGGAGGCTATGATTCCTACTAAGAGAGGTGAGGAGGATGGACAGGAGTAGGTTGGGAGGAAAATGAGGGTTGCGTTTGCTCATGCTTTAAGAACATTGAGGGAATGTGGAATGGGCCGTCGGGGCACAGTCTGGGGTTCAAGGAGAGGTGAGGGGGTGTGGGGTGGGCCGTCGGGGCGCAGGTCTGGAGTTCAAGGAGAGGTGTTGGCTGGTGAGGCCAGTGGAGTC